ATATTGAAGGTGTTCTATTTCTGGCATTGAACTATGAAAAACTTTCAAAGGAGCAAGATACATGTCTCACTCATCACTAAATCTCCAACATAGCCTTTCACATAGTACTCAATATATGTATTGTTGAGTCCTTTGCACATAAGCCTTGGCTAAAATATATTATTAGATGAGTATAGCAATAAATTTACAGAGGATTTTTTTTAATCTGAGCAATTTCACTACATTATTTTTTTAAATGGCTTTCAAGAACACAGATAATAGTAAAATAATTAGGAAGTGATCCATTTTGAGTATTTATTATCTTTGCTTTTAACATAATTTAATTTTAAGTTTAATACTTTATAATAAATTATAATAATGACTATGTTTAACAACTGGCGTGGAAAATTCCAGAATATTGAACACTCTGCCTTCATTAACCAGTATTCTCGCATGGCCGTGGATCTAGGCTAAATTTTCAGGTCTCAGCCTCAGTTTCCTTGTGAAATAAGGTAGCAAGACTAGACAGTCTTAAAGGGCACAACTGACTTTGACATTCTATGTGGTCCTCAAAGGTTTAGGTTCATGTGTGACCCCATCTTTCCAAGTGTGGGCATAGTTACTGAGGGGGTACTTCAGGTCTGCTTTCCGGGAGTTCCCTGTGCCACATTCTCTCTCTACCAGAAGGAATGACATCAAGGGAGCCTTTGAGTCAGGAAGTCTAGGAGCAGCCAGTGAGTTTCTGGTCTGCATCACTACTAAATGCTGTTTTATTTTGTTACGTGAATTAGAAGATATTTAATCAAATGTACTTCTACTCTCATAGTATTAAGTTTGGATGTTCTAAAGGGGAGTAAGGAGGCTTTATTTTTTTTTTTTTAAAGATTTTATTTATTTATTTACTTGAGAGAGAGAGAGAGAGAGAGAGAAACAGCATGAGAGCAGAGAGGGTCAGAGGGAGAAGCAGGCTCCCTGCTGAGCCGGGAGCCCGATGTGGGACTCGATCCCAGGACTCCGGGATCATGACCTGAGCTGAAGGCAGTCGCTTAACCAACTGAGCCACCCAGGCACCCAAGGAGGCTTTAAATATCCAGAAAATGACAAGTACGGGAACTGTTACAAGAGGCGAAGGGTTGGTAATTAGTGTTTGATGCCTCAATTTATTCTTCCTGGACTGTGGGTAGAGACCTATGTTGAATACAATATAGCTGGGTTGAACTAGTTCTTTTTAGATTTTAGCTTTTCCATCTATTAAATAAGAAAAAGTAGGCTAGATGGTCTCAGGAGCCTATTAATTCTAAAATCCATCTATAAAATTAAGGTTATGTTGAACTCTGAAATAGTAGATTTGGAGATTTTTCAGGGGTGCTGAAATTAAGAAACTTAATGTAAGAGATTTGAGTGGTGATTTCTGGGGCAGAACAGGAAGAGCAGGAGGGAATGCAGACTATAAGCAGATACCTTTGGGGGTTTTCAGGTGACTTCTACAGTGTAGGGTTCTTTTTTTTTTTTTTTTTGGCTGAGTTAATGTAAAGAGTGCAGGATAGTTCATCCATGAAAACAAGCTGAAAAGAAAAAAAAAAAAAAGTGACTTGAGACTTCCTAACTTTGGGTGTGACTGATTTGACAAAACCATTTGAACAGAGTGATTGTTCCATGAGTAAATTGATACTGAGATTCACCCAAGGGCAAAGCCTCTGAAGATAGGTAGGATTTACCTCACTCTTCCTGCCCTATGGCACCAGCTGATCTCTTTCCTTCTTTTCTCTCAATAATGTTTTCCATCTTTATTCGGAGATCAAGAATCAATTCTCGGTTTGCATAGGAGACACCTGGGAGATCCTCTAACTGAGACCACTGAGTTTTAAATTGTTAACAGAACCAGTTCTTCAAATGAAATCTTGCTCGGAACAATAATATACTTAAAATGCGAACAACAAACTTGCTGGTGTTAAGGAGTGTCTGGAGTCCTACCACTAGGGACATTTCTTTACATCTGGCGAACCCACTGAGGCACCAGAAACCCTAGAGTTTCATGAAACCAATATGAAAACCACTGATCTATTCCAAAGCCCACTCCCATCTTTTGTAATCAAGTCCCCTTAAAGCTTGAGGCCCTGGAGTAGGGGGTAGGGGTGGGGAGGAGCTGTTGCCCCATTCAATGTAGCAAGCCTGAGATAAAGGTGATCTAGGAGAAAATGAGAGGTAATGGGAGCACCGTTTGGGCCTACAGACACAGAAAGAGAATAAACAATTTGAACTGCAGAGAAATGAGGGATAATTCAGGTTTAATATAATTACTTTTGTGTGACACTTCTACAGCTTTAAGAAGCCTTTCAAATATGCTATTTAATTAGTTCAATTCAGTAAGTATTTTCTGGGTACAAATTATGTACTTGATCTAATCCAATCAATGTATTGACTACCGTGCACTATATGGAATATGTGTAATACATTATTTCAAGTAAGCCTTTCAACCACCCTGTGAAGGAAGCATAGTTGAAGAAAATAAGGTACAAAGAGGTTAAGTAACTTGATCATGACTTTACAGTATGTCAGTAGTAGAGCTAAAATTTGAACCCAAGTCTGTCTCACTTCAAAACCCATGTTCCTTCCACTCTAACCTCGAGGAGATATAAAACTAAGAAATTCAAGGAGATACGGGCTTTGCCTTCAAGTTACTTAAGATCCTCTACACTCGATTAATTGTTGTACAAGTAATAGAGGATGAATTAGCATTGATGAGACGCAACAAAAGGCCAGGAAAGTTTGGAGAAGAAAGATTATATTTCAAGTAAGGAACCAGGAAATGCTTTGTGCGGAGTAAATCTTAGGACTGTGTAGGCATCTGTGATGCAACGGAGCAGGGATGACTATCCCCATGTCACAATCAAGGAAGCTGAAGTTCATGGAGCTGGGAGGCTTTTCCACAGTTTTGCAGCTGGTTAGTGGTGACATCAGAAATACAGGGAAGGTCTTTTAGCAGTCAGAGAGAAAATGTGAACATAAACAATGTCTGATTTAACCTTTTTGCTAATAATTGAATTCGTCCCCATTTTCTCCATCCTTACTTCTGCTAGCATCCGATTGTGTTCCCCAGACTGGTGTAACCACTTTGCACATAAACTGATATGCTTATAGACCTTTCCTCCACACAGCTTCCAAATTTATCAGTATGAAATGTATTCTGTCAGTCTCATCCTTCAAATCCTTTAATACTATGGGGGTGGATATCTACACGTGTGATCAAAAACTTGTGTAGAACTAAATACATATATAACATACATGCGTGCATGTGTGCAGATGAGTACAAGTAAAACTGAGAATTTCTGAATAAGATCAGTGCACTGTAGCAGTATCAATATCCTGGTTATAATATTTTTAACGGTTTTGTAAATTGTGACTTACCATTGGGGGAACTGCATAAAGGGTGCATGAACTCTCTCTGTATAATTCATTACAACTGCATGTAAATCTATATTGATCTCAAAATAAAAAGTTCATTTAAAAATCTTTTGCAAAAACTAGAAGTATTGAAATATTTAAGCTTTGAACATAGCATATGATTCTCTTCTTCTCTCCCCAGCTCTATTTTCCAGCATTCTCTGCCCCAGATCTTACACTGTGCTAACATAGAGTTGCTTGCAACTTTCTCACATACACCAAATTATTTTCCATTTTAGTATTTTGTTTATTGTTGTTGCCATAGACTGCTCACTCATATCATTAATCCTTACCTGGCATAGCTAATTGCTTCAGATTGTTTAAGGCTCTTTCTTTGATCCCTCAGATGAGATGATATATTTTAACTTTGTACTTTCATAGTGTTATACATACTCTTACTATTCTTATTAGAGGTTTGGTTTCTTGTCTTACCTTCTATACCTTCTAGAGAGTGATACAGTCTTATTTGCTTTTTATTTTCAGTGGCCTTTATTCTTGCTAGTAAATAATAGATTCTGTCTATGTGTTTAACTTGAGTAAATGAATGTGCTTCTCCATATAGTTTGGAAATTATCAACAATAAATACAATGCTATTATCTTCTATTATGTAACTAGACCAGAGTATTCATTTGCAAATTTAAGATGATTGACTATCTTGGTACACTATTTATTAATACTTTACAATATTAACAGTAATGATTAAGAGCTTAGCTAATTTCATCCTGGGGTAAAATTAGTCTACTGATAATCACAATGAATCATAGACTGAGATGATCTGTGTAGATAATATGCGGACTTGGAGACAGCATCACTTGGGAAAGCTGGCATTTTCCTCCATATATATAGGATCAAGGTTATTTATTTTTTTAAGTAAAGGCAAACTTGGGGACCCAGCAATAAAATGGAGCAAACAGAAATGGCATTCATTTGCAACGTATTCAGATGTTTACTTATCCTTTAGTCTAACATAGAATTTTACACTCCAATTAAAAACCACCCACACACACATAAAAGTAAGTTAACCGGTGATTCAAAAAAAAAAAAAAAAATCTAGGTTCAGAGGTTTGCATTTATTGTCCCTGGGCACAATCCTAAGATGGTAGTTATGAGAGAGGTGATTTTACTGCAGGTGAAATTGAAATTTTCTGAACTCCTTTCTGTTTTCTGATTCTACTTTTTACCTGCTAGGGGCAGAATGGACAGATCATCAGTTGAGACATTTATAAAACAGGTTTAATAATAGGTCACCCTTGCTGCCAGACTTAATGAGGGAATATTTATCTTCTTTTTGGAATCTTCAGAACATAGATGCTGGGTAGTGGAAGTGTAGAGTGTAACAATATTACTAGTTACAAAAGAATTTGATATAGGATATGATTATCTGACTTCACAGCAAAATGGGATCCATGATACTGCCCAATGAAACACCAATCATGCAACTTCTGAAATTTGCTTTATATGCCTGCATGGTTCTGAAGAGTCACCTGAGATTTCTTGATTGAGTATGCTTTAGTTTTAATATTCAATATCATAAATACAGAAACTGTAATTCTAGTTTCATTTTTGTCCTCTTAAGGTTTGTAGAAACCCCAGCTCATTTCTCTTGGAAAGAAAGTTATTACCGATCCACTATGTCCCAGAGCACACAGACAAGTGAATTCCTCAGTCCAGAGGTCTTCCAACATATCTGGGATTTTCTGGAACAGTGAGTATCAAAGAAGCAAAAACATGTTGTACTTGAATTATTATAAATAGATAAATAGAGAGTATAAAAATATTGCTCACTAGGGAATGTTTCTAGAATCAATAAAAACCAGTCAATATTGTTGGGAAAATTTATTTCCTCCAATAGTATTTCTGTGTTCAAAATTCAGTAGAGGTTTATTCAGCTTACAACACCAAAAGATCATTATTCCAAGGTGGTATAATTTTGGAGCATCAGAAGGGCTCTCCTCAAACCATAAGAGACTCTTAATCATAGAAACAAACAGTGTTGCTGGAGGAGGGGGTGGGGTAACTGGGTGATGGGCATTAAGGAGAGCACATGATGTAATGAGCACTGGGTGTTGTATGCAACTGATGAATCACTGAATTCTACCTCTGAAACTAATAATATACTATATGCTAATTAATTGAACTGAAATTAAAAAAAGGTGGGGAGGCTTTCCTGCCTAACTCCCAATAACTTCTCCAGTGACTCCCTTGATACCCAAAATCTGTTCCTTTGGCTTAAAGACTCTTATTTGCTGTTACAACACAAATACCCCCTGAGAAGGTAGAATACTAAATTTTGTTGTTCATTTATGCCTTGCTAGGAAAATGATTATTGTCTACTGTATTAAGATCAAGTTTGGATAAGTGAGTAAATTCAGCAGAAGATAAAAGAATATCAAGGTACTTGGTACTCTAAGGGATAGGGTATAAAATACTCAATTCCCGATACATCCTTTCTCTCCCATGTTCTACCCAGCAATTCTCTGACAAGGGCAGGGATCATGATTCCCACTGTACAAATAGGACTTAGATTTGAACTGCCTGAGATAACACATTTGGCATGTGGTTGAGCCACGATTTGAACCTAGAGTCTCTGACTCCAACGAATGAGCCTTGCCAAAGGAAAGAGAGGGAGATCATTGTTGTCAACTGGGTGCTTGTGTTTTAGTCCCATTCCTTGCCTAACACACTTTTGTTTGTCCTTTATGGTAGGCCCATATGTTCAGTTCAGCCCATTGACTTGAACTTTGTGGATGAACCATCAGAAAATGGTGCAAGAAACAAGATTGAGATTAGCATGGACTGTATCCGCATGCAGGATTCGGACCTCAGTGACCCCATGTGGGTGAGTAGCAGGAACGTCTCCTTTAATCTGTGGGCCGTGCCGTCCACATCTCTGTGAAGTCTGTGTATTTCATGGCATATGAAAAGGCAGATGGCCCTGAATGGACAAGGCCACTGGGCAGAGAGTCAATGTGATCAGCAGAGAGAAAATTAAGTGTTTGTGGATTTTGCGTCTTCCTCAACTCTTCTTACTGCATATGCTTCCACTGGTGTGAGGAAGGTGGGTGGGTGGGAATAATCCCTTATGTTCTTTATTTGAATTGTTCCTTATGTCTATCCCGATTTGGAGAGGGTGGTACCAGTCCAGGGTTTTACAAGAGGTCAAGTTAGAGTCAGAACCAGAGTCTAGATCTGAATTCTATCCAAATTCTATCTATACTATGGCAGGCTGGCTCTTTCATGGAACTATCCTTAAATAAAGGAGGAGGAAGTAAATTCAATGTGAATCTAGATACAGATTTAAGTACCTAGTAATAGAATAAGGGGAAAGAAGGTAAGTAATACATAAAATAGTATTTTGGGGGGGATGCTTTGCCAGTGAGTCACTCATGACCTTGGGCTTCAGTTTCTCATCTGTAAAATGGGGAGACCAGGAGTGTAATGGGTTAATAATATTAAAACACTTTTCTGAAATGTTTAGATGAAATTTTCTGTATTTCTGTAGTACATAGTGCTGGTTTGTTTGTGTGTTGTTTTTTTTTTTGTCTTGTTGTTTTTTTTTATTATTATTCATTCACCATACAAATCCTACTTTTTCTGTAAACACACACAACTCAAACAAACAAATCCTTCTAGAAAAACAGGTGGAAAAGAGCTAGAAAAAAAGGTGGGGATTTCATAGATCATGTGTCAACATGATTTTGAAAATCACTTTAAAAATACCTTGCCTGTCTTATCTAATAGAAGATTTTACTGGAATTTTCACTATTTTTTTTTTATCTGGAATTGTACTTTTTTTTTTTTTTTTTAATATTAGGAGAAGGTGTGTCAGGAAAGGGAAGAGGAAAGAGCCAAAAATATAAAGTTGTAACTTTGCAAATATACTGATGTTTTGCCCCTAAATTGATAAAAGGAATATAACTATTCTTCAATGGCCCCTTCTGTTCTAATACTGACACAGTTCTCTGTTATCTTTGAGCTAGTGAAAGGAAAAGGATGGATAAATCCAAGGGGCAGATCACTCAAGGCCTTGGAATGTATTACAATTAAACCTATGTAGGGGTAAATTCTGCTTTGAGAGTGACTTCAAAATTAGGATATCTCCAGTTCACTTAATAATATCACCTCTTGATAGGTAGCAAAAGCCTAGGCAAACCTTTCTTTTATATTCTCTCCAGGGATTTTCTGTTCTGATTCCTGAACTCATAAAAGCAGGTGAATTTATATAAAGCTTAAAATGGAGAGTCAAGCCTTTTTATTTATGGTTTCTACTCTTATTTCACATGCTTTCACACACTGAAGCATGTGGTTTCTAAATGTGCCATGCCCTTTCTTATTTTTTTATATTATTAGAAATTCTCTCCTTAGGAACATCTTTTTTGTGTGTTTGTTTTTGTGTTTGTTTTGTTTTCCCCCTCTAGCCAATTCTTCTCTGTCCCTCAACAAACAGTATATCCTGTCTTCTCTGGGAAAACTTCCATATCACTATTCGCCACCAGTCTGAGTTAGAGACCATTCCTCTGAAGCAACCTAGGCCTATTTTTAGTCCTATTACTTATTATACAATCTTATCATTGTTTATTTCTCTGTCTCTCAAGGGGACAGAGGCCATATTTTGTCATGCTCAGCATTTGTTACAGTAGCTGTCACATAATAGGCCCTCAGGAAATTTTGAAGTCCTGTGAAATGAGAATTGGAAGTTATCTTAAAAAGTCAAAAAGTTCTCTTTCAAGCAGTCCTGTCCAAGAGAACTTTCTTTCAGTGATGTAAATGTTCTATATTCTGTACTGTTCCATGCAGTAGCCACTAGCCACATATATCCTTTGGGCATTTGAAATGTGGTTAGTGCAACTGAGGAACTTAATTTAAATTAAATTAAAATTTAAATGACCACATGTGTCTAGTTGGTAGAATATTGGGTAGCACAGTTCTAGAATATCTCCTGTCAGAGGACTGTTCTCTTCTTGAACATTCACAGCGGCAAAGCTTCCTATCCCCTCTGCCTCTCGTATTCCTTCCCCTGTAACTATGGTCTGTCAATTGGAAGATGCTACGCTGCTGAGGTACTTTATTCTTTACTTCCACTGTTTTCTCACTTCTGTTGGAAAGTACCCAGGTTTGCTATCTGAGCAAAACTTTAGTTATTTAACGTCCATTTTGGTGCTTTTACAAATCAGCTAAAGGAAACTTTAAAGAAATCCTAGTGGAGTATCTGAGTGAGAGTCATGGAAGTTCTACAATGATGTTTGAAAAGGGAAAAATGAAGGGGAGAAAGTCAAGAAACTACATAGATGTCATTGCCCTCATGATAAGTGTCTAAGAATGCACTGCTGTATGGGTTGGAGGTTATTGTTATTTAAGAAATACTGATATTTAAAAGGATTATCCATTTGCATTCAACATTTTTTTCCTGAGTGTCAGTTATAAACACACACACACACACACACACGATATTGATTCTTTTAAATAGATTTTTAACAATGCTACTAGGAGGACTGATTGAAACAGTGTGTTCAATTTGAAATTGATCCAGATTTTCCTGTTATAATTCTAAATTACAAATTTTGAAACTACCTTTTCCTTAAGCATCAATAGTCGGTGGCAATTAACATGTTTGATATTTAATCTTTCCAATCACTTTGTGAGGTAGAATTTATTATCGCTGTTTTATAAATTAATCAAAGGCAAAACGGGTTAAATAACTTTTCTAGGATGACATGTGTACTCAACAGCAGTGTCAGTATCCTACCCATACTTCTGGACTTGATCTTTTCTTTTCTCATTTTTCCTCCAGGGTACTGTATTTGAGAGGAACTTAAGTTCTATTTCTTCTTAAGTACCTGTCTGTTCTGTGAGCATTAGGGATGTCTGTGTGGAGAAACCACTCCTCCTCCACGAGATAATCCTATAGTAGAGTCTCCGCACTTTGCCTCCTCTGAAGAGGCACAGGTCACCATCAGTAATGACGGATGATAAAACATTTGTCCCATCACTTATTAGCACCTTCAAGCTTGGAATTGTTTACCAGCTTAAATTGAAGGTAACACAAAATCAGGAAATAAGACCCAGAAACATTGCAAGGAAATAGGGACTGAAATGATCCAGAAAAAGCTGGAAAATAAAATGAAATGTGATTTTCCCAGTGATAGGTCACTTAGGAACAAGGATATTGAAAGAAATCTACAAGTTAAGGGAGAAGGAACTTGATGACTTAAGCTTGCCTCTCTGTGGCTGTTCTGTTTTTAATATCCAAAGAAGTGAGATATTGCTAGTAAGTTATAGGTCTGTATGAATCTTGTGTCTTCCCTCGTCTTATGACCATTCCAACATCCTCATCTATGTCCACGTGTGGAGGACACATCGATGGGAATGTGCAACAGTGACAGTCCTCAGCAACAGGAGTGGCAAAATGGTAGACATGCTCAGGATCCTATAACTAGTATTCTGGTTTGGAAAGTAAGAACTAGGATCCTCTTAGATTCCTTGTCCTTTAAACAGACAGCTTCTGCTACTTGGTAGCATATTTTCACTTTTCTTATGTAGAGGTTAATAGCTAAATAGATCTAAAACTCTGCACATAAATTACTTTCCTTTTGCATATAATATTTTAAAAATTTGGGATCTCCGCCAAGCATGTTCTCACTATGCAAGAAATATGAAGCTGGGGACATGAAACATGCCAGGTTATTAAGGACAGAAATCTTGAAATTGAGAATGGCATCCCATTTTTATCGATTTTTTTGATACAACCTTCACCTTAGTAATTAGTCATGAAATAGAGTCATAATGTCTTTCTCTGATTATTAACAAAGGAAATTTGAGTTGCAGAGAATGTATGTGCCTTCTTCATCAGAATGATTTTACTGTCACTGAAGAATGAACTACATTGAATTAGCAAATGAAGGTGATGAGATTTCTCAAAATTTTTTCATAATTTAGCCTGTGTTTCCAAGATCCTGTTGGCTTTTGATTCTACTGTCTAATATATTCCTTTATATCTCAGCCTTGCCTTATTTACAAACTGTCTAAACATGCCTGTCATATCTTCAAGAAGGAGATAAGGGCATCAACACTTAAATGTTCTCCTGGAATGATTGATGGAAAATACGTAACTTTTATTTTTGCATTTATTGGTTCTTTGTGCTTTAAAGGAAGCCCTATTTAGTTGAACTGGGTTTTTCCCTTGTGATTCAAGTGGCAATTATCTAAAACCATCCAGCTTTGTAAATTCTTATTGTAGCATCCCAGATATACACGAAGAGTCTTCAGCTCTGCATTTCAAAGAGCAGATAGTGGGTGTTTTGGAAAGGCTTAGGCACCATGTATACTGCCTTACATCTTAAATGATCCAAGATTCCTATAAGATTTCAAGTATATATACTAGATCTAGCCACAAGCATTTCCTTAGTACTTACTGCATGCTCTGTTCTTTGTGAAACAGATGAACAAATCATGGTCTCTAGCTTTGAGAACACCATAATACAGCAAATGAGCCAATGTGTACAAAATTACTCACATGTATGTATTTTTTCATTTTTTTTTAAAAGATTTTATTTATTTATTCATGAGAGATAGAGAGAGCGAGGCAGAGGCAGAGGGAGAAGCAGGCTCCCCGCGGAGCAGGGAGCCCGATGCGGGACTCGATCCCAGGACCCTGGGATCATGACCTGAGCTGAAGGCAGACGCTCAACCGACTGAGCCACCCAGGCGTCCCTCATTTTTTTATTTTTATTTATTTATTTTTTAAAGACACAAAAGGAATGATTTATTGTGCCTGAAAAGACTGGCAATATGTTACAGAGAAGGTGATATTTTTAGGTCTTGAAATATGAGTCAAATTGA